AAATACAGCTCCTTACCTAAGCTTAGTATTTAATATGCTTAAATCTCAGCTTATATCCCATATACGCTTTTAAAAAAATATTCTTGATTAGGTATCAATTCTCTCAGTAAAAATGGTACTTATCATCTCTGTATTTGTGTGATATGTCAGTTTGATATTAAGGACACTGGAGAAGAGCCTAATGCTGGGAACCACTGACAGAAAAAGAAGGGGATGGCAGAGAATGAGGTGGCTAGATGGAGTCACTGAAGTAGTCAGTGTGAGCTTAGGTGGACTCCGGTGGATGGTGGAGTACAGGAAGGCCTGGAGGAATGTTGTCCATGGGGTCACGATGGGTCGGACACGACTTCGCGACTAGCAACAACAACAACATCTTTAAAATATTCAGTATTGAAATGGATAAATCTAAGTATCTTATGTAAAAGTTTCTCTTTGGCATAATCTACAGGAGACAAAAAAATGCCCAGGCAGAGGTAATGCACATGAATCGTTTTCCTTGGAACTGCAAAATCAATCATGCCTGTGAACAAATTATTCACTAAGTTTATTACTAGCCTTCATATTTTAATTCCATCCAACACAAATGCTCTGGGCAAAAGCTGCAGCCCACTGGGCTGCAAAAATAAAATGACTCTGAAATATTTAGAAATGAATTGGCGCCACTGTTTTTTATCCTCATTTTTCAAGCTACTTCTATTAGATTATCACTTTCAATCTGTCTCTTGTTATCTTTCCTGGCTGGAATCCTAGAGTACTCAGGGCTGCTTCAGAAGTTATATGTTAATAGGTGCATATAATAGACTTGCAGCACGCATTCACTAAACAGTAATGACTGAAGAAGCTGTATGTCTTTTTTAAGCAGTGGAACCTGCAATATACAAGGGGTGGTCACATGGTAGGTCTTATCTACTGGTAGATCTCTGGTAATTTGCAAGAGATCAGCAAAGACTCTGATTCCTAATTGTTTAATTTAATAAGTAGCAACAAATGACTCCCTCCATCCCATTGGGAGGGGGATATCAACCAGGAGTGAGATTTTTTCTGCAAAAGGCCTGTGAGCTGAATTCAGTTGTGGAGCTCAAAACATTTCCTATTAGGTTCAAGTATCTTCCATTCCAAGAGTGCTTCCAGATGAGGATTTATTACTGTGCAACTGCAGTGCCTCATTCATAGATTTGTACAGCGATCCAGACATCCTTTTCAATCTGTAACCTTTCCATGTTTTCCCAGTTTCTTCCATCTTTTTTCTTATCAGATATAATCTATTAAGTGTAGGGAAAAATAGGGATCTAAGGAGCTTTTCACACAATAGCAGCCCACATGTTGCCTAAAGAGGGTTCCACTGTGAAAAACTGCATCTGCAACTAGAAAGATTAGGCCCAGATTTGTTGTTTGCACTACAGCAGAAATTGTACAACTCCATACACATCCCTTAGAAAGAGGCCAAGCCTATGCTGTTTTCTCAATCTGAACTCAACCACATTTGTTTCAAGAAGGAGGGACCTGTTTCCTACCACAGGACAAATAATAGGGAATGATCAAACTAGGAAAACAGGGCAAACAGAAGTGGTTTTTCGTGCTATGACCCTAATCTGAGTGCCCCCTGTGTGTTTACCTTGAAAAAGGATGGAAGACCTGATATAAGATTAACAGTGCATCAAACTTGGTTCCTGATAACTTGCTATCTTGAGATGCCAGGGAATAAATGTGGGACATTCTATATGCAAAGCATATATTCTACTGCTAAGCTATGGCTCTTCCCCAAGACAAAAGCAGGAAGGCTCTAATCTGACTTTAGAACTGTACATGCAGAGTTGTGCGATGCATTCACTAAAAACATCCAAGCTACACACACACACCAGACACACTAATATGCATAGATATGTAAACATAATGCATGCACACTAAAATCTGTTTAGTACATGCCTATTTCACCCACAAAGAATTCAAGACAGACCAGAAGGCCATGCTAACCCAACAATCTTGTGAAGTAGATTGGGCTGAGAAACACTGATTACATAAATTCAAAGGAGGAGTGGCCCTACATCATTCAGTAAGCTTCACAGTTGAGCAAAAATTTGCACCTAGGTTTTCCTTGATAAGTTTAACCTTCTATTTCACTGCACCATCTTGGTAAACCTAAGTGCCCACTGATGCAATGTATGAACTAGTTCTCAAATGTGCTCCCACAGCATTGTCGAGCATGTGGTAGCCTTTTCAAATGCATAAATTCAATGCATCCACCTCCATAAGCAATATGGTGGTTCACATGACAGTTTGGAAAAAATCTGAGATTAGAATGATGCAATCCAACATAGCAGCTAGACATGCAGATCTTCATGCAGGTGGATGGAAGAAAACAAATACTATAACTGCCTCCAGTGGTGCGAGCAAGGTACAGAATCAGAAACATAGGAAGCTCCCAGTCAGAAATAACTTTACATGTCCACACAATCAAGAATGCACAGCCATCCCATGGCATAACACAGACATTTAACATTAAAAAGACAACATGGAATAACATGGCACAGTAAGGATTCCTGAGTCTGCAAAAACTTCAACTTGATTGAAATCTGAGGTGCAGTCAGCTCTTATTTTCTCCTGTAGAGACAAAAGCTGTATTTATAATATTACATGAAATAGTGCTTGTGCCTCCAAACCTATTTACTTAGAAGCAAAGTCTCTTGACATAACCAAAATTTAAAAAATACAATAAATGCCCAATATAGTTTTTAAAAAAATCATTATCAGCCACATGCCACCAAAAGCCCACTCATTTTTGTATTTCAACAGTATTACTGCCAGCAATACCTTCCTGATGTCCTTGCAACTTCCCGATTACTCTCATACCCCAGACTGCATTTTGTAGTTACTTCCTTGAGATTTTGCATAGTAAAGCTCACATTATACTCGTTAGGCAAGCATGATAAAACACCAACCTCCCCGATATTATACTAATTTTTACGTTTTACATATGATGGGAGTGGCTTCGCAGGTACTCCGTCTTGTCACAGCCTCAAGTCCACTGAACCTATAAGAATACGACCCACCTGTATACAGTACACACTGCCCCTCACTGGCGTCTCCGTTAGCATCCCGTCAACACAAGACAGCAAGGCCCTTTTCCCTCCATACCCAAAGCTCTCTTTCCCTCTCACTTATACATACACACTCATGCCCGCCGCCCATGCCGCAGCGACGATGATAGCGGCGGCACTGCACAAGTTTTGCTCAATGAGTAGAACCAACCAGACTTTGGGCCTCCCGGCCCGCGACCGGATGCAAGAATCACAACGTAGCGTACTTTTCTGCTCCGGTACCGCAGAAAAGAGGAACTCAGACTTCACCGGCACGCGAGGAAGGCAGGGCGCCTCGAGAGAAAGGGAACTCCAGGCTGCGCCTGTTGGCCTTCTCACCTTTAACCCGCGACGGCAACTCCAGATCGGCTCCTCACCAAGGTCCCCCACGCATCACGCTGATTTCCTCACAGAGCCAGACGCCTCCCGAAACCTCGGCCCCTCCGTCCACAAACCCGCTTCTGCCTTACTTTGCCCCCTAGCCTCCTCGGGGCGGTTGTTCCTCCATCCTCCGAAGGGGCCGACAGAGCACTCCCTGAGGACCACCCCTCTCACCCGCGCCGCTGAGCAGCGCCCGCCCGGTCGCCCAGGGCCGGCACCGGGGCTCCGGCGCACCCTGCAAGGCGCGCAAGGGCAGCGCCGCACACCAACTCCGCCGCCAGCCCGAAGTCTTACCAGGGGTCGAACTCGTGTATGATGCTTTCGAAGCGGATGACGGCGAAGAGCCTGGAGCTGAAACCGGCCAGCCAGGCTAGAAAGAGGATAGTGAAGGAGAGCAGCGACTGCCAGCCCGCCGGCTGCGAAAGGCCCCCCGACAGACCGCCCCCGCCCGCCGGGGAGCCTCTGCTGTTGGCCAGCGCTTGGGAGCCAGCGGCGGAGTTCGAAGAGGACGACGAGGCGGCGGCGGCACCGGGCTTGTGCTTGTGGTCGGGGGCTGAGTGTTCCGCCATGTTGCTCCCCGGACTCCTCGCTGTCTCTCCGCCTAACGCGCGGCGAAGGAGGAGGAGCAGAGTCCGCCCCGCTCCCTCAGCGCGCTTCGCGAGAGCAGCAGCGGTGGCGGCGGGAGGGGGAGGAGGGGGGCGGGAGGTCGAAGCGATGGATCTTTCCGCGCCCCTTTCACTGCTGGTGGGGCCTCTTGCCGCCCGCCGCCCCCTCCTTTACGGTGACCCGGGGACTGCCGCCCGCCGCCGCCAACATCCCAGTGCAGCGCCAGGCAGAAGAACAGGCGCGAGACCGGAGCAGCCCGAGCGTGCGAGCGAGATGTGCGGAGAGGAGGGGCGGGCAAAGGGAGGGGGAGGAGGGACTGTGTGAGCGAAGAAGCGGGGCGAGGGGGGTGGAGCGAGCTGGAGAGAGGGAACCGCTTCCGTATGAGGGGACCTGGCACAGGACGGCGTTAGAGGAAGAGACTGGAGAACAAGGTAGAGGAGAAATAAAACAAGCGTGGAAGGCCGTTGGGCGGCGCGTAAGGAAAAAGGGGAGGAAGAGGAGGGGCCGGGGAAGGACTCAGAATGGTTAATTGAGGCTCACGGCCCGCGCAACCGCTGACATTCTCATTGGGTGGGCGGAGCCGGCTGCGAATCTTTTCTTCCCCCGTTCGTCCGGAATTCCCTACTAACCTGTCAGAGAGCGACAGGTACTTCAAAAGGGCAGATCGGCAGCCAATCAGGATGGAAAGCCGCAGGGTGCGGATAAAGGAAGGAGGCGGGATTACTGATCTTCACCAATAATAAAGGCAGCTGTTAAGTGGAAGGACGTGATTGGGAAAGACTTTCACCAGTGAAAGGCTAAGGACGTGAAGTTGACTTTTTTTTTATAGCATCACGTGAGATGAATGGAGCGTTGGCTTTTCAGGCGAGCCGCTTTTGCAGGGGGCTGCAGTGCCTCCGTGGAGGAAATTGGAGCCTGCGTTGCTTTGGGTTCCGCAGCAAAGAGGCGCGTTGTATGCTGGAACTTGTAGTTTCCAGAAACTGCCATGCGTCTGTCAAACTCTCCAAACCCTCCTCACCCCGCCTGTTGTCATGGTAGGCTTCGGGGACGCGCAAGTCCCTCTTCACGCACTTGCTTTGTACAGCTAGTTCATGGAGGGAATGGACTGTAGACTTCACAAGTTTTTTGTGATGCTCTGCAAGCGCTGCCTTGCTCGACTCAGAAGACAAATAAAAAGCTCTCTGAGGCGCGCCTTTCCTTGCGCGTAAGTGGAATCGCTGAATGGTTCCTTGGAAGCACTCATGGGCTGGACGAAGGTAAATAAATTGAGACTCAGTTTCTAGAAAAGATGACGTGTTGCCCAGCACTGATTCTGTGGGCACGATCTGATAGGATTTATAGTACTATCTCAGTTTGGTTCGGAAATCGGAATGCTTGCTAGAGTGACAATCACTGCCCAGTTCAGGGAGGCATCAGGTAGCAACCCCCCTCCCCCCGAAAGCTACACGAAATCAGAAAAGTGCATGCTTGTTTCGTGCTAGCCCACCCAACGATTTGGAGATGAGCCCTTTCCTTGCTCTAGTCCAGATCTCCTCGTCACAGCCCATTTGGGTCGGCTGCCACAAATTAAACGGGCACATTTCTCATTTAGTGCGAGAATCAGTGCAGCTCCAAAAAGCGCTGTTGTAACTTATTTATGTAGCGCTGCCCATGCACATGGCGCTTTACAGCGAATAACAAGACAGGTTTCTGCTCCCCAAAGGATGTATAACCTAGAAACAGACACACAAGAGACAACAAAGGAAGGGAAGGGAAATGGTGGCAAGGATAAACAGGGAACAATCTCGCGATTATTTCCGTTAGATGCACTTAGATGTAGGGCAGCCTTCTCCAGCGTGGTGTCTTCCAGATCACGCACCATTCCTGGGAAAGCTGTTGCAGGATTTTGGGGCCGGGGAGTCATGCCAGTAAGTTTACAGAACGGATGGGTTCTGAGGAGGCTTTGAAGGAGGTGGCAAGTTGGGAGGCAGTTCGAGACATGAAGGGCAGCAAAGGAGAAAGGGTGGAGTCGCCTGAAGAAGCAAAAAGGCCATTGCAAGGCTGAGGCTGGTGCAACCGGATAAACGAAGGTCAGGGATGTCTTGGGGACATATGAGCAGTGAGAGGGCTTGGAGGGAAAAACAATTCGCTTTTGCAAGATCTGGGAACAGAAAACATGCCAGTGTGCATTTTTAAGGTGCATGATCATGTGGTCAGAGAGACAAGAAATGTGAGTAATGCTAACAGTGGAATGCTGGACACAGGTGAGGGAAGCAAGGTGAGATTATGCAGTTACCCATGTGAAAGGTGACTAGCATGTGGATCAGAGTGTTCTTGCTTAGGAAAGAGAGGGATGGACATTACACACACACACACACAAACACACACGGAAGAACTGGCATGGTTTGACATTGGATTGAATATTAGGAGTAGGGAAAGGAGAGGGTGGGTGGGTTTGGACAAGGCTTCAACCCTAGGCTAGTTATACCTTGGGCTTAAAGTTGCTGGGGAGCAGTACGTGGCAAACAGGGGGGCACGGTGGGGGTCCTAAGGCACTGCCTTCTTTTCCTCCTCAGACCTCTAGCCCGTATCACAGGGGACACTGTGCTGGAACACTGCTAACAGCTGCTGACAGTGGGCATCCCAATGCTGGCAGAGTTAAAGAATACAATCATTTACCTGTTCAAAGAGGAGTGGTGATGTTCAGCATTCTGACTGCTGGGAAGGCAGCTGTGGCAGTGTTGGTAGGGGAGATTCCATGTGGGCCTGACCCTCTTCCCTCCTTACCCCAAGTGAATGCATTGTTCCTTTTTACAGATTGGGACAAGCCAGGTGCTACAGCCACGTCCACTGTTTCTTCACAAACCTCTGCAACAGTGATGATGGTCTGCACCCAGTCTTATCCTGCAGAGGCAGATGCTGCACGCTGCATAACTGGAGGACCCCTTGGATTTTCACAAATCTTGTTTGAAACCACCCCAAACCATTTTTATGTTCTCTTTTTTTGTGTGTGGGGGGGTGTTTTTATTGTTATGAAGCATCAGCCTCAATACTAGGATTAATATTTAAAAAATGAATAATTGTGCAATTGCCAAGCCTTTCCTTTTCTTTACATACAAATGATGCGGTAAATTTAGATGCTGCAATGTTTAGTTTTTTTACAAGAAAATGTTTACTCTTTTCAGAAGCCTAGATCCCACCGAAAGCAGCTTACATTAACATTAAAATACCACAATAAAATCGCAGCGCTGATTTAAAAGAAACAATAAAGGCAGGCATGACAGATGAAAACAATAATAAAATCAGAATCATATCAAGCTGGCAAGCAAAAGCCTGCCAGAATAAAGTTCTTCACTAGCTGATGGAAAGAGGTTATCAGCCAAGCTCATGAGGAATGTTTTTCACAGCTCAGATGCTGCCTCAAAGTCCCTCTTTCTAGTTGGGGTGCACAACCTTTTTGGTCCTGATGGTTGTAAAGTCTTGACAGGATACGTGGGGGGGGGGCACAGCCCCAGGAGGAGCTACTTCTTCCCGCAGTGCATAGTTCAACAATGAAACTGACTTGCATAAATTTATGACGGCCACCAGTTTGGATTGATTTAAAAGAGAATTGGCAATTGCTTCTGGGTCACCAAGAGGAGACTTTCACTTTCTGCCCTTCCCAGCATCTCTGGTGGGCACTGCTACTTTCACACCACTAATGGTGATGTAGAAGCTGCAGTGCTGGCTACTGCAGAGTCAGCAGGGAGTGGAGAAGGCTTTTCCTCCCTCTTCCTTACTTCCCAGCACCCCAGTCAGTGTCTCTTCTCTTGTGCTACCATTCGCTGCACAAAAGCAGCTTTGTTGATCATTGTGTTTATTACTATTATTCTTAATAATGTGATGGCAACAACACAGCCAGTTATGTCCAGGGGGTGTATACAATCTGTGGGTTTTGGACCCAAGCGGAAGTTGAAATCAGGACCCATTTCTTCAGAAGACTAAGCCAAAGTTACTCTTTTGTTCATATTTGACCACCAGTTCATACATAAGTTCATCACTTATGTCTCTATTTAGTGACTCAAACCTGAGAAACCACAGAGAATGCCTAGAATTTTACTGTGTTCTGTTTACCAGAATCACATTGCTGATACATGAAGCCTTCATGTTTTCTGCCCTGTGTCTGAGACATTTTCTGCTGAAGTAAGTTTGAAACTTCTTGCTTGAGGAGGGCAGGAGGAGGAAAAATACAAGGTGCTGGTGCTGGGGAGGTGTCAGTCCCAGCAGTCACATTTCTTACCTCCTGCACCAGTGAGTCTTTTTTTTTTCCTCCCAATGCAAACCCAGCTGACCGATCCTGATCCTTACAGAATGTCACTTGGGCTGCAGTATGGCATGGCATGGGTGGGACCAAAGTGCAGAGGTGGGGCATCTATTTTGCATGTCCACAATATTAAGCTAAAGACCAGTGGTCGGACCTCCTTACAAGGCAGAGTCCTATGTTCCTGCTAGTTCTCCTGACCACACAGGGCCAGTCTTGCCCACCAGATGCTTTAAAAGCATGCTCATCAGGATGAGGGATTTATCTCTTGCCTAAGCACCTGCTCCTTCTCTCTGAGTGCTGCCTTGGACTTTGACCTCTTCTTGGTTGTGACTGCCCAATTCTGTTTCCCTGCTTCTGCCTTGGAACATGCCAATTTTGGACTATACAGGCTGTAATCCATATAGCAGATGCAGAGAAGCCCAGGCAGAGTCGGGACCAAAGCAGCTGTGGTGGGGAAGGGAAATTTCATTCTGTCTCCCCCTGCCATGGTTCTGACAAAATTTGTTTCTCTCTCGAATTTCAGGGGAAATTCCTGTTGGAGCCAATGGAGCTCTCATTGAAACATGACAAATGACATCAAAAAGGTGACTTCTGTCAGTATTGTGGCAGGGTGAGAATGGGTTAAAACTTCCATTTCTCACCAGCTCCTGTCCCCCAGTTCACACAAATTGCCCATCCTGTGTTAGAGAAACTGAGCAGTCAGTCAGATGTCAACCAGTTCAAAATAGAATACATTTTTTTGTGTTAAAAATATTATTCAGCTGTTTTTCTTGGTCTGCAATAAAAATCTATACACACATTTTAAGGTCTCAAGTTCTGAATGTTTTTGTTTGTTTTTTTGCAAAAGTAGAAATGCAAGACTTATACTGCAAGATCTTGTAGTTGCTATATATATTTAAGTTAATTTGACATATGGTGGTGTATGGAAGAAAAATAAATATCCTACACTGTCAGCATTCCTATAACCCTGATACATTAATAAGAAAGAGGGCATGGAAGAGGGATTGGGGGAGAAAGTCTGATAAGTCAGTCTTTAAGATGTTAAGAATATAGATCATTTTAGCATACTATAAACCAGTTCAGTTTATTTGTTTTGGCCACTTGCCGTAACAAAACATAAAACAGAATGTCAGAAATAATAAAATAAAACCACTTGGCCAGTCAACGAAGAAACTTAATGAAATACCAGTAGTTAATTAGTGTCAACCAAGGCTCAGCAATAAAGGTCCCAGGAAAAGTAGCTGATGTCAGAAAAGCCTTCTTTTCTCTTGGCCAGGGGAAACTCAGATTTTGGTTGGGACAGTGTACATAATCTCACAGAAGGTGCAATTGAATCCAATATTTTATAGACAATGGAGTGGAATGTGGAGTTGAATCTGAGTAAAGCAGGGAATCTCCAACCTGTTCTTGGTAGGAGGGTACATTTGAAATTTTGGGAGGGCTGTAGCACTATGACAAAATGGCTTCCACAGTGGGTGGGGGGTGGGGATGCTCATTCATAAAATAACTGCCCTATTGGACATGGCTGGTCATGGCTGGCTCATTTCTCAGAAGGGAAACTTGTGAGAGTGAAGCAAAGAACCTTGTCCAAGAAACTAAGGGCAGGACAAAGGTGAGTCCTGAGCTCCTAAACTCGCAGCTACTCTATTGAATCCTAACAGAGATGGTGAAGGGCAAATTTTTTTAGTAAAAATTAGGAAGGGCAAGGAACCTGGCAGGTACCAAGATAGGTGTCAATATGCAAAATGTAGAGCTTAGCAATAAAACATTTACAATCCTAATTAAATTAAACATGAATAAATCTAGTAGGTCCATGCTGCAATGTTATCCTTGTTATCCATGTTACTGATTTTACGTTCAGCAATAAAGACAAGTCTATCTGTGTGTCTCTTTCTGTCTCTGTAAATATATATGCCAGGGTACATTCACATGCAACGTTAAACCATGCCACATGGTTTCCATATGGTATGGTTTCTTACCCATGTGAGGCAGTCAGATGCTCATGTGGTTTCCACCTTCCTGCCTGATAGCACATATTCCATCAACCTCTGTGGCTAAAAGGGTGCACTGCTCCTGCCAACATTACCTGCCTCCTTCTCCTTGGTCTGCATATAGAGGCTGAATGGCCAGAGTGGCTCTTGCAATTGCCACTCTTCCCACTGGATTCTATGATAGCTATGCAGAAACTACATTTCTGGGTTCAGGTGGCCAAATATGCCATGGTGAAGCACAGAAACCATACAATGGACTGTTATTTTTCTTGTGGTTCCATGGAAACCAAATGCCACATGGTTTCCACATGGTGTGGAGAGTTTGCACCAGTGTTCAGACAGGACAACAGACTATCCCTCGGTGGAAACCACTGTGGTTTGTTGGTTGCATTCATGCAACAGGACAAACAACTCTAAATAGTTACTATGGGTCCATGATTTTACTGGGATCTACTCAACAATCAGATGATTTCTATGTTAATGTGGATTCCATCCTTCTTGCCCAGTCCTTCTGCTGTTGGCATGTATCCCATCAGCCACTGTGCCCGAAATTTAATCCCAAGGTGCTTCATTACCTGCCCGTCTAACCTTCCTCTTCTTCATTGGTCCACACATAGAGGCTGGGTGGCTGGAGCAGTAGCCATTCTTGCAAGAGGTCTCTGTGGTAGTTGCACACCATGACCATGGAAACCATGATCCTGGGTTTGGACAACAAAACAAGCCATGGTGGTACTGAGAAACCATAGAACAAACTTGTTTCTTACCATTGTTTCAGCTTACCATGGTGAAATACTATGACTGTATGCAGACAACAGACCAACAATGATATAAACCCACGATGGCTTTTGTTTGAACCCAGCTGTTGCATGTGAACCCAGCCAGATACTGCAGAAACTCAAGTTTTGCTTCTAGCAGCTGCATTTCATTAAAACGCTTCTAGGAGATACTATAGAATTGAGCATTCTAGTCAGTGGGTTAGGTTCACGCTAAGTCATGCTTCGGGTAAACCCCCTGCAATCAAAGTGCAGCTTTTTTGTCATCCTTGATTAACTTAAAAGCCTCACTTATTTCAGTGGGTCTAAGCTGACCCAAGTCAGGTGCTCCAGCTAGTCAAAATAAATGGAGAATGTTAATGCAAACGGAGCATTAGTTTCTAACATATAATCCGGAATGGGCCAAGGCATCTTGCTGCTGAGACAATGGCTCAAACAGTGCCCAGCTACCCCAAGTCTGTCTATAGAAGTCACCAGAACTGGCAGTTGATTTATTTATTTTTTTACTTCAACAAAAGCAATAGAACTGTTCTGCAGCACCCGGGGGCAGCTACCTGGCTTATGGGGTGCAAGACACCTGCAGATCTCTCCTCTTTAACACCACATAGTCAGTCCCTGTTTCTCCATATTTGTTTCCTGAAGCAGCCACAACTTTCTGCCTATGTAGGGCCAGACCTATGTAGGATTTATTTTGATCCAGAAGTTAGAACAGAAGAGTAAACTCACATTTCGGTGTGGAAACATTCCCATCTTTATATTGTTAAAGCAAAAATTGTGGGGCTTCTAAGTGTAGGCTATGAAACATATGTGTGTATGAGTATTTATTGACGGAGCAAATGATATTCCTGGAAAGCAGTTAAAAAAAGAAGTGCAAATGTTCACACCTGTCACCTGCTCTTCTGCTGCAACCTATTCATGGATGCCGTGTCTGAACCATTTCCTAGTCTATTGATGTCGTCAAGCAGTTTGAACATCCCAGCTGCAAACCCCCTGGATTCATAATTCTTGGAGGTGGCACTTCTC